CAACACCATTTGTTGAAGAGACTGTCTTTTTTCCATTGGACATTCTTTCCTGCTTTGTCGAAGATTAGTTGACCATAGAGTTGAGGGTCCGTTTCTGGGCTCTCTATTCTGTTCCATTAATCTATGTGTCTGTTTTTGTGCCTGTTTATGTGTACTGTCTTGATGATGACAGCTTTGTAATAGAGCTTGAGGTCTGGAATTGTGATGCCACCAGCTTTGCTTTTCTTTTTCAACATTCCTCTGGCTATTCGGGGTCTTTTCCGGTTCCATACAAATTTTAGGATATGTTCCATTTCTTTGAAAAAACATGTGCATTGTTTTTTCAGCATGTTGGTGATTGATGTAGAGAACATCAGTCTACTTACATATGGTGTTGATTATTTTTAAAATCTTATCTATCTTAACCTAAACTTGTTTTTCTCCTGGACCTCAATTTGAATGCTGGGTCTTGCTGAGAGCAGGGAAGGGAAGCAAAGGAAAAGGGGTGACTGAGAGAGCCAGATGGGCAATATGACTTTTAGGTTCTGTTCTCTTAAAGTACCCAGTGTTCCCCTCCTGAATTTCCTCCAACTACTCATGAAAATATATTAATACTTTGTGCAGGTACATCCTTGAGCTTCAGACCTTTTAGTTCATTTTGCTCTGAGCCCTAGAAAGTGACCCCCTCCTCCAAAAATGTGGAAATGGTTAGAAACTTTTACCCTTGGTTGACTTTTCCCTGTATTACTTATTCTTTGCTCAGTTCCCCTTCTTGCCATTTTGAAAGCTGTTTCTGATAAGTATTTGGATTTTGTAAACTTTTTCCCCACAACCACTTATTAGGGTAGAAATAAGAATTATCAGAAGTCACATAGGACTTTCTGTTTCTTATTTAGAATATCACTCTTCAAAATTTGTTGCAGGAGGTTGTATATTGGGTTGTTGCTAATAAAACTTGGCTTTTAAAATTTTATTTAAATGTTTGTTGTAATCGGTTTTGAATAAGGGAGGTTCTGTAATTTAGGTCAGGGTTTCTTAACCTTGGCACAACTGATATTTTGGGTTGGATAGTTCTTTTTTGTAGGGGATTGTCTTGTGAATTGTGGGGTGTTTTTGTTTTTTTTTATTTTTTTTAAGATTTTATTTATTTATTCATGTGAGACAGAGAGAGAGAGAGAGAGAGAGGCAGAGGGAGAAGCAGGCTCCCAGGGAGCAGGGAGCCCCATGTGGGACTTGATCCCAGGACCCTGGGATCACGACCTGAGCCGAAGGCAGACGCTTAACCATCTGAGCCACCCAGGCGCCCTGTTTTATTGTTTTTTGCCTTGTGGGATGTTTAACAGCATCCCTGGCTTCTACCCACTAAATGCCAGTAGCATTCCCCTAGTTGAGACAATTAAAAATATCTTTAGACTTTGCCAAATATTCCCTGGGGAGAAAAATCACCCTGGGTTTGGAACTATTGATTAACTTATTCTCTCATCTTACTCCTCTTGCTAAACACCTGCATCTAAATTTTAAATAGTTTTCTTAAGTAGCCTGGTAAGTATTACCAAAGATACACATCAGATTTAGAAAAAAAAGCTCTAATATACTCTTGCAATTCAACTTAATACTACATGAATGTTAACTGTATAGGACTTATAAGCTATCTGAATAGTAATCCATGAATTAAAAAAAAAAGGTTTATGAACAATGTGGAATTTTACTGAGTGAAAAAAATTAAGACTTTTTTAAATGACTTATTGTTAGGGGTAATGATACTCACAGTAGATTTACTTTTTTCTCCCTCATTAATTAAAATCATGGTTTAGCCAAGTAAGTGAAGAAAATTCTTATTGGCAATTCAGTTGTTTACCGTTTAGGAGACTGACACTCTCCAGTTCTAAGCTAAATAATTGTCATGGTAAAGTAATTTCCTTGAAAAGAACAGGCATTGATTCGCCCCTGTTACTCACAAATCCTATTTCAGTCAAATTGGAAAACTATTAAGTTTTGGGGAAAAAATCAATAGGTATCAGGAAACCATTAGATCTTGTGGCCCTTGCTATATCTTGCATGAGTAATCACTGTAGACAGCTGACAGGTATTTCGCTGTTGACACAGTGATGCTTGGGGGGCCACATCTCCTCAGTGTAAGTGGACAGCTTCAGACACGGGGATGAGTTCAGTTATCCTTGTTTTTCCCCAGTACTCATTCTTTTGGACAGCCCTGTCACTAACTGGACCTGTGATGCTTTGAAAAATCAAATACTTCTTTTACGGCCAGTTTTGTTTTTCTTGTGTAATAGCAAACTGATCAGGGCGTGTGCTTTGCTACTGAACCAGTGTCTGTCAAAAACAAGTTTTAATTTCTTACTTAGAAGTTCTTTTTCCTCAGATCCAAATTTTATATCCGTATTAAACAAATAGTATAAGGTTTTACTAGTAATGCTCTTATAGAGTGTGTAATTTTGCCTTCTGTTCTTTTCCTTCTATAAAACTTACAAGTTTTTCTCTTTTTCAGTCAAGTGGCTTCCAAATTATCTATATTGTGTTTTGCTTCCCTTTAGAGAGAGAATTCATTATTTGTTAACTGCATGATTATTAAATTTGGAAGAGAAAACATAAAAATAAGTCCCGTGTGCACATATCCATAGTGCCCAAATTATTTGGTAGTATCTCTTGGCAGATTACTATGGCATTGATAGAAGCTTGGTGTTGGGTTTGTATGTGATAAGAGCTGATCTGTTTTTCTTTTTCTTTCTTTCTTTTTTTTGTGGGGGGGACAGAAAAGGGAGAGGGGAAGAAATGAGTATAAATAGTAAAAGATTCTGTCATTGTAATTCCCATAAAGAAGTTTGGAAAGCCATACATAATTTGTGTATGTGTTCACCTGCTAATTCTTTTAGGACACATTAAAACAGCCTGGGTAGAATAGTGTTTCTCAGTTTGAATAAATATTTTTATTTGATCAATATTGTACATATTTTTCAGGTGCTGTAGCTTCTATGTTTTGGGTTGATGCTGAATTAGGGGTTGATATTTATCTTGATGGTAAGTTAAAAAGCAAATATTCTTTTGTTTTCAAGTAAAATGTTATGGTTAAGATTTTTTTTTCCCGCTCACATTATAATTTTAATCTTTTTAAACTTGTTTAGTTTGATGATGAAGTAAGATTCCAAAGCCCCAGAGAGTGGTAGAACTAGATGTCGGGTCTTAATGTCAGTTCCCAATTTAGTGCTTCCACTAAGGTTTTCCTTTTAAAATGCTATGTCAGTTTTTTACATCCTCTGTTTGATTTATGTACTTAGTATGTTAGAGAGTTTTTTATTTTATTTAAAATATACAGTATGAGGGGCGCCTGGGTGGCTCAGTTGGTTAATCGGCTGCCTTCGACTCGGGTCGTGATCCGGGGTCCTGGGATCGAGTCCTGCATCGGGCTCCCTGCTCCGCGGGGGGCCTGCTTCTCCCTCTCCTGCTCCCCCTGCTTGTGTGAGCGTGCATGCTCTCTCTCTCTCTCTCTCAAATAAATAATCTTTTTTTAAAAAAGTTATATGTGGATTTTTGAGTGTATGGAAGGTCAGTGCCCCAACTCCTGCGTTGTTCAAGGGTTAATTGTATACAAAGCAGCCAAAAGCAGCAGAATACACATTCTTCTCTACATATGGAATGTTCTCAGAATAGGTCACATATTAGACTACAAAACAAGTCTCAGTACATTTAAGAAGATTGAAATCATGTCAGATATCTTCTTTAATGATAGTGGTATAAAACAAAGTCAATTACAGAAAGAAAACTGGACAAATCATAAATATGTGGAAATTAAATAACATGCAACGGGTCAATGAAGAAATCAGAGGAGAAATAAAAAATACCTTGACACAAATGAAAATGGAAATAGAACAGTCCAAAATCTACAGGATGCAGCAAAAGCAGTTCTAAGAGCAAGGTTCATAAAAAGATAGCTCTAGAAGAACTAGAGAAAGGAACTAGAAACTAAAGGAACTAAAAAAAGAACAGATAAATCCCATAGTTAGTAGAAGGAAAGAAATAATAAAGATTCAGAGCAGAAATAAATAAACTAAAAAAAAAAAAAAACAATAGAAAAGATCAATGAAAGTAAGAGCTGGTTATTTGAAAAAGAAAATCAGAAATGAAAGAGAAGTTAACATACCACAGAAATCAAGGATCAAAAGAGACTACTATGAATGAAATGGGTTAATTCCTAGTAACATACAATCTCTCAAGACTTCCAGTCTTCCATGAAGAAATAG